ACCTTCCGACTGGGAGTAGCGGCGGCATTTCCGTGTGTCCTTCCCATGCGGTGCCTAGAAGGAGCTTGAAAGATGTTCTTATCCGCATAATTTTCGGTGAAAACAGGAAATTTCCTCTGTATGGCTAAAGAGGCGCTCCTTCACAGGCTTATCAAAAGGTTCCGCATCTACCTGCTTCCTAAATGAGAGGGAGAGAGGGAGGAAAGAAGAAAGTGAACACTTGGGCAGTTTCATAGTTGCTCTGTGGGGGCAACTTTCAATTGCATATGTAGTTTCTGGTGGTCACTCAGGAGTGCGAATGAAGAGACCATTTTGGGACTTTCATTGGCAATTGGCCAGCGCTGAAAAACCTCCGTGTGATAGAAAATAGCTTTCACCTTTTCTTGTCTTCACCACGTTATTTTATGAAATATAGGAAGAACACGGATTGATTCTCTGTTGCTGTGTGTCAGATGCTGCAGAAGGAAGGCCACTCATTGGCAGCGTTGGTGTTGGGTTTGCTCATTTTCTGCGATGTGTCAGGCTCCTCCATCTGACTTTACCTGTATGGAGTGCCAGGGCTGGAGAAAACGGAGTTTTGTCTTGTGAAATTTGTTACACAGGGAGCTTATTTTCTGTTGCAGTGCTGTCAGCCACAAGCCTAGTCATCTTTCTCATCCTGTTCTCCCAATTACATCATCCAAGGACTTGAAAAATTTGAAGGATGCAGAGGGAGACAATGAGTATCTTTTTTAGTAGTATCTGGCAAGATCCTAATGTACAAGAAGCTTGTACAAACTGTGATTCTTTAGTTTTGCAAGTTTTCATAAAAATAACTTGGTACAAACCTGGAAAAGGACTCATGTTAATGCTTTCTTTTGCAAAAATTAGCAGTACTTCACTATTTCTTTTTTTAAACGAAAACTTTCATTCACTTAATGAGCACATGGTTTCACTGTGAGTCTAATTGTTAAAGAATGAAATGTTTTTATTCCTGCTTTGTATGCTCCTAAGAGGAACAGTCGGAGAGCTATTGTAGTTAGATTAAATATAATAATGCTCAACTGAACTTTTTTATTCAAACATAATATGTTTGAGTATATGGCATCTAAATAATACTTGAAGAACACTATTCATATTCACAGTAGCTTGTGAACTATTAACATGCCTTCATACCGTCCAGTCAAGCTGGATTAGTGAATCATAAGCCGTATGATAGAATTCATAGAAACATTTTCATGCTATTGTTGTATCAAGACAAAAGTGAAAAACGACTAAATATTTCGGCTTTCTGCAGTTTGTAGTATGAGCTTGCCTGAAGACTCACTGTACTTTCCACTAATATAGCTGCTCTGCTACTTTTTTGCCTTTTAAGAATCAGATTCGAAGTTATTTAAAAACTATTTTCTCTGTACTTTTAAATTGTGTTCTGGTTCCAGCTTGACTCTTTTTTTCCTTTCCACGCTGAAGAAACATGGATGTGAAGAGCAGAAATTACTTACTTCTGAATCGCCAAGCATTGGAAAAAGACATCAAGACCTCATACATTATGGATCATATGATTGCTGACCAAGTACTGACGTTACAGGAGGAGGAGAAAGTAAAACAACAGGTAGAATCATCTTTCACTGGTTTTTTTTTGGTCCTAGAGGGCCCACGTGTGTTAACATCCTTTTTCTACATATTTATTTCAGTCTATATTACTCCTAGATTCAGCAGATTCTTCAAGCATATGCTTAGCATGCAATTATTATTAAGTTAAGTGCTTGGATGAAGTTGAGGCCTTTTTCTAGAATAATAAACACAGGGTGACAGAATAATGATTTATAAGCTCTTTTAGTTTTATATAACATCTTTTCTATTGTTTGTTCTAGAATACGCAGAAGGAGCGAGCAGCTATGCTAATAAACATTCTTCTTACAAAAGATAATAATTCATATAGATCTTTCTATAATGCACTGCTTCATGAAGGGTACAGAGATCTTGCTGCACTTCTTCAGGATGGCATCCCTGTCATCTCCTCTGGTAATGGAAAGAGTTCTATGGATGGAATGACTTCATATGGTCAGTATATCTATGGCAATCCTTGTGCTTAAAGTAAAGACAAGTTGTTGGTTTTTTTTTCCCCCCTTACTAAATGAACTGACTAACCCCTGTTTTGATGAAAAAGGGGTAGTTGATGTATTCGTTTGCTTTGGTATTGTACTAGTCAATATTGTTGTATTTCATAGAATTAATATGGTGTGAGAGGATGATTATGTCTTACACAGGTCATTTTGAAAACGCTCCTCCTTAGTAACACTTACCTTAAAAAAACAGAAATCTGAACCCCTCACAATTTTATCTAAATCTCAACATTTTTGTTGTATGTGAAAGACTTTATGTGTGTATATATTCAAGAAGCTGACTCTAACATAAAAAGCTACAGTCTCTGAAATTCTGATATTCCCTTGTAGGTTAATCTGTAATCTCTCACCCCCCCACATACCAACAGTAAATCTAGGTAATAGGTTGCTTAATACTCTCCAACAGATCTTTTAGTTACCCTGAATAAGTTCCTAAATTTTACATAAGTTTTCATCACTGTCATCTTTGACTGATATGAGATAAACTGTTAGTTCTCGTGGGACAAGCCTTCTTACTGCATTTGACAAAATGTCAGGTAAATCTTATAGTGTAGTTATTTGCACTCTAAATTTTACGGAGCATCATGAAGTCATGGAATTTTGATTGCCTGAACAAAGTTTCCCAAACCTTACTGCACCTAGCGGTCCACTTTGTGGCCAGTAGTGGACTAATTAGTGTACGTTACCTTTTCCGCTGTGCTTTACCTGCCTTATTGCAAAGCCCGTTGTAGTAGCTTAAATCGTAGAAAGTCCAGCTTGGGACACAATGCTGTGCTGTAAACCACAAAGTAAAAGCCTTACATAGCATGCTTTCTCTTCTACTGCTTCCTGTGGAGCAGCAACTTCTGGCTGGAGAAAGCAACTAGGCAGTTGGGAATAGTTACATTGAGCTACTGTATTTACATTTGCCATAGTTTGAATTGGTGCTGTTCATTCTAGGGACTGATATAATTAGCTCTAGTTCACAAAAAATAGGGTTATTAGTCGAGACATCACCGTAGGTGGGAAACTGGTACCTGCTAAGTAATTTGTTTCCAAAAAGCAATATTTTTTTTTCAGTGTCTGGTATGGTTAGTTCAGTAGTTCTTAGAGCATTTGTATGGGGCATGCTGGGGGAGAGAGCCCACTAGTTATTTTATGATTTTGGGTTTTTTTTTTTTTTTTGGAAGCAGCATCGTATTTAGAATTTATTCTTTATTTCTATATGCTTCTTGTTTTTGTTCTTTTGTTTTTGATTTTTAACTTCAGTTAAGATGATTCTCTGCGAAGGAGGTGTACCACAGAGACCTGTTGTGTTTGTTACTCGGCCAAAACTGGTGGATGCTATTAAACAGAAACTGTGCTGTTTGGGAAATGATCCAGGTTGGGTCACAGTTTATGGAATGGCAGGTTGTGGAAAGACTGTTTTAACAGCAGAAGCTTTAAGGGATCACCAACTCTTGGAAGGTACTTTTAGAAAAGCATCGGTATTTTGATAAAAATTACTACAGGTATATGCAAATTGGGCATATATGACTAGGTATCTTATGTCATTTTGAAAGTAATTTGAATAGAGGTTTTGAAGTTCCTTAGGTGCTCTTAAAATGTTTACTTGTAACTTACAGTCTTCATAACCGTTTTGTGTTCTAGGACTACCAGATGTTTTACTAATTTGTGGGAAAAGATTCTGAATAGCTTTTCACCTTGGATTCTGTTTTGGTTTATGAGAGTCGATACTGCTCAGTCTTACTTAATTTGTAAATTTATAGAAGTAACATTTCAATGTAAAATAGACATGTTTAATCTTTTTGAGCACTGTTTGTTGAATCCTCCAAATTTTTACCATGCTATGGGAATTAAAAAAAAAAAAAAAAAAAAAAGCTTGTAACTTTTGCATGTATTTTAATAGTAGCAGGCTTTTGTGGAGTGATTACCCTATTATGACTTTAGTTTAAAATGGTTCATAAATGAAACCACTTACCGAATTTTTTTCTGTATAGGGCACATGGAGGGGAAAGTGGGACTGAGTCATTAGAAAACATGATGGAGGGATAGAAACTGCAACATTCCCTGCTGCAGCTGACTCTCTAAATACCATCTTGCTCACCGTTCTGGGATAATTTCAGATCCCAGACTCTGAACTCCTGCAGTAATACAAGGTCAAACGAGTGAGTGCTGAGTCAGACTAGCAGGAAAAGTGGATGCAGAAGGGGCTGTCAAGGGTCGGTCAGGAAGGTAGGTGAAGAAGATGGGCAGCATCAGTGGTAGCGTGAATTTTCTCTGGGTACTTGCCCTACGTACCCTGTTCCTTTAAAAATAAAAAGTAGTAGTCGTGTAGAACAATCCTTCTGTGTTGTTGGTAGAGTTGTGAGCCTGACTTATAATAGACTTCATGAACAGTTTTATATTTTATTTGTAATTGAATTATTGCTATTACAAGCTGTTATTAAATATTTCTAATTTTAAATATATAGCATGATTAAAATTTTCTTTTTGTTAGGTTATTTTCCAGGAGGAGTTCACTGGATATCTGTTGGAAAACAGGACAAAGCAGGGCTCCTAATAAAACTTCAAAATCTCTGCAGTAGATTAGACCATGACTGCGCTCTTTCACAAAGGCCACCGCTCAACATTGAGGAGGCTAAGGATCGTCTTCGTTTGCTGATGCTACGCAAATACCCCAGGTAATGTCAGTAAGATGATACGCTATTCTTTAACTAATAAATCTTTGCAGAGTAACTTTAGTCTAATTGCCTAAAGGGTCTGTGTTGTGGTTTCATGTCTCTTAAAAAAAAAAATCCTTACTCTTTCACTTTTTACTTTCCCTCTTTCTGTTTTACTATAGATAATTAGGAAGAGTTGTTCAAGTCAAAGCTAGAAATACTTTTACAGTTTTGTTTATTGGGTAGGCATTGCTGTTAACATTTTCTAAATTTCTGACTTACATGTGATAAAAGAGTAAGGTGTACAGATAGGTGCACAAAAATGGGCGGGGGAAAGAGATGCTCAAAGCAGATGATGTATAAAGTACACAGTATAACTCTGTCCCTTCTTAGGTTTTTGTGTTACGATCAATATGTTCAAGAAACCAGTTGCTTTCAAACCTCAGGAAAAGTGAGTTAGTTTAATCAAGTACGGTCTTGGTGACTGCACAGCTTTTCTGCATGTTTGAGCAATAGTTCTTGTTATTTGTTGAGAATTTCATGACTCCCTGGGAAAATTTCTACCAAACTAAACAAGCCTGCACCTGAGTAAGATACCTCAGAAATAAGACTCCCATGTTGTGATCTCTATAGATGACCTTGAGTAGAGAAGTATTGACCTTTTTTGTATAGAACAAAAAAAAACAACACTTGCTTGTCAAGGAAAGACTTGAAAAACATTGCAAGATCTTCCACAAGAAATCTTTATTAAGGTTATTCTGTATCCTTATCACAAAGCAGTGAAAATAACTTATTTTTTTGTGAAGTCTTGTATGAAAAGTGCAAACCAGACACTTTCAAATGGAAGTGCAGGTTTCCCTGAAATGTTTTTTATTCAGTGGCTGTCTTCATTGATGCAATTCTTGTTCCCTTTTTTTTTTTTTTTCTTGTTCATTAAAAAAACAGAGCTCCTCAGTTAAGAGGAGTCTAGATGTTTAATTTGTGCTTAACATTAGTCCCTTCTGAGTAGAAGGGAGAACTGTGGGTTATTTTCTTGTAGGATATATCTCTGTGGCATCAAGAGCTATTCCAGAAGTTGGCATCTGTATACCCAAATAGCATGATATTCTGGTTGATATACTATGCTATATTGCTTCTAGTGCACAAAGTGACTCACCTAACGAGATGCTTTATTGTATTGTGTCAAAAGAGCATTTACACTGAGGAAACTCAGGGAAAAAAGAAAGTAACAGCTTTTGGAACTACTAGGTATTTGATAGTATTTGAGAGAATTTTAGTTGCAGCTGTGGAAGGGTCTTCCTTACAGATAGCCAGACGTTTCATGTAGAATGCTGTTGAACTGGCAGTGTTGATTAATCATTTTCAAGATAAAGTAAAAGATGTTGTCTATGACTTCTAGCTAGGAGCATTACAGAGAACACCTGCACCTCAAGGAGAAGAGGCAAGGATAAGATCATAAAACTTTGAGTCCAACTGTTTTATAAGCCTTATTTCATTAGGAAATTTTGTTAATATGATCACACTGTTCATCTCTGTCCTGTTTCCCCTTTTCCTTCTCCTCCTCCCTCCCAATTATTTTGAGCATATTGCCAAAATTGATTAAAAGGGTAGGAACTTTCGTGTCTTTGAGAATTCGGTGAGTTTGTGGAAATGGACGGTTGGATAAAGAGAAATCAAGTAGGTGTCTCCAGTGGAGAAAAGATATTTACAGCATAAATACAAGGGGAACATACTCTATGTCTTACTAGCTGGCCAGTTAGCAAGGGCTGAGCTATCCAGCCTAGTTAGATATATGTGAGAACATACTGTAAGAGCAAACTGCAAGAGTTAATGATCATGGGCTATCATAGTGGGCACGGGAGGAGGTATAGGCAGGCATATATCATTCTGGTGAGATGTCTGTTAGTAGCCTACCAACGTAACTAGCCATAGCACTTGAATATCTAGTCACTATAAAATCTTCTTTGTGTAAAGAGAGCCCCATCATGCAAGACAATTCTTTCACAAGAGGATTAGTTTCTCGGAGCTTTCTGAAGATTTAAAAACAAAACCAAAAACCTCTCAGGTCAAGAGGAAACTGAAATTATTTCTCCCACAAAATGTATTAGCCTAGTCAAGCAGAGATGAGTTCTCCTGTCCTGTACAACTTTTTCCTTATTTATGATAATTGGTAACATGAAAAATGAAGTAAATATTCCTGCTTTTCTTGACATGTGCTAAAAAAGAATTCTCAAAATTCTAGCTTTTACATTTCAATTGTGGCAAAGAAACGGGTTTCCATTACTGTAAAGCAACAAAAAGTTAAAATAATTTTTGGAGATACTTGCATTCATCATTCTTGCACAGTGTTTATCTCTTGACCTTCTTAGTAAAAACTTTTTTCTATTTGTATGTAAAATATTTTAGGTTATACATTACAAATTCTGAAAAATGTTCTTTCATTATTAAAATAAAATACAGTATTTTAGCACTAATAGTTTATCTGAAAGCTGTAATATTTCTTCTTATACTAGGTCTCTTCTGGTCCTGGATGATATTTGGGATTCCTGGGTGTTAAAAGCATTTGATAATCAGTGTCAGGTTCTTATTACCACCAGGGACAGGAGTGTAACAGATGCTGTGTCTGGTAAGGAACAGTTTAATCTTCTACGCTACAGATTGTGTGTACAAGTATGCAATTTGTTAGTTAAATTTCTAAAAGAATCTGATAGCATCTATGTCTATCAACTTGTGCCCAAGTGGCAAAATTTTAGAATTCTGCTCTATAAGACTTAATGCTCTTCAGTGCGATACATGCCATATGTTATCCTAAAAGTTCTTTACCTACGTTGAAGACTGCAGTGATTCTCAATAGGATAAATTGAATTTTGTGGCGCTTCTGCTGTTAGACTCGTTATCTCTACGGTGTGAAGTGTTCACTGCTACAACATGTCCATAATGCAGCTGTAATTGTAAGATTGTTTTGGGTGGGATTTCTACTATTATTAGCACTAAGCATATAAAATATTACGCAGAAAATCATGTACCAGGTCCTTTGCTCCAGATTTTGCTCAGAAAATATTATCAATTTCCATAGGAGTTCTCTGAAGTTCTTTTTGTTTCTTTATATGTTTCTATGTCTAGGCAATAAATATGAGATTCATGTGGAAAGCGGACTAGCACATGAGAAAGGACTGGAGGTTTTATCCCTATTTGTAAACAAGAAAGTAACAGAACTACCAGAACAAGCTAATTGCATTGTAAGGGAATGCAAAGGTATGATTATTGTACCACTTACTACTCAATGTTTTTTATTTTTCTTTTAGGTTTCAGCTTACTGAAAGAGAAGGGAATATTCTGTAATACTATACTGCTTAAATATAACACCAGTGTTTACTGGATGATCTTTTTGTCCTCTATGTCCCATGTTGATTTCTGATTAGTTTATTTCAACCTATCCTTTTTTTAAAACACACATTTATAAGGGAATAATTTGGAAGGCTTGCAGATGCCTATATGGAGGACATATTTTGTTTGCCTGTTCTCTAGCACCTCAAGAATTTCATCAGTGAATCAGCAAAATTACCTCATTTGTTCAGCCTGATTTATATTGTTGGACTTTATTCCTTGAAAACTTTTAAGATTAATTTGATCTCTTCCTTCAGGTTCTCCTCTTGTGATATCCTTGATAGGTGCATTATTACGAGACTTCCCCAGTCGTTGGGAATACTACCTCAAACAGCTGCAGAATAAGCAATTTAAAAGAATAAGAAAATCTTCTTCGTATGATTATGAGGCTCTTGATGAAGCAATGTCCATAAGTGTTGAACAACTGAATGAAAATTTTAAAGACTACTATAAGGACCTTTCTATCCTCCCAAAAGATGTTAAAGTACCTACTAAGGTAATAATAGCAATGCAGAAATCTCATAGTTGTTAATGAGATACAAACAGTAACGTTAAAGAAATCATAACATTTGGAATTGTTTATCTTTAGCGGTTAATGTAAAAGTAATCAGTAGAGTGGGTTCAGTACTGTATCATGACTTTTATTGTCAGTGGTGAACCCAAGAAGTATCTGAATAAATGTGTTCATAACGTTACTTTAATGTGAATCTCAAATATAGCTCTTTAATTAGATTGTAATTGAGCTCTCTGAAGGCAAAAAAAGTGCTACATAAAATATGACTCCTTTGAGAAAAAGATATGATTGCTATAAACCAGCACATACAGATGAATGAAGATATAATGTATAATTTGTAAGTGACAGGCCATGATTTCAGTATTGCAGAGCTCTGCAGTTTTTTTTGTTTGATTGTTTTTTGACAGTCTCTCTCATATAGCAAGCATTTACTAAACATTTTGGAAAGTTTAAAGTCTCCCATGTAACAGTCAGTAACTCAGCTGTAGAATTCAGCTTACTTCTGAAGTGTTACTTTAGAAGGGTAGAAAGTGTATTTGAGGGGAAATTCAGTCGAAGGATGTTATACATTTTTGCCTTTTTCCTAGAAGAGTATAGTCTGCAAACATGGTCCCAGGTCTTATTTACCTCTGCCTTGATTTTAGCAACCTTAATTTGCCCAGAATTTTGGCTGAAAATGGCAGTGAACTAAACATAGCTTTAAAATGTATAGGAATCAATGCTTTGAGGAAAGCTCTTGCTAGTTAGATCAAGGAGAAATTTCTTCCCAGCACCTTCCTGGTGGCTCTGGAAATTACTTCAGGACTCTATAGCGGCTAAAAAGAGGTTATAGAAGTTATAGAACTTACAGAAGTTTTCTTCTTCCACTTCCATCTGAGGTTTGTCTTCCTACAGCTAGATCAATATTGCTTTCCTTGGGTGATCATCTGGTTCTGGATCTGGATCATTTGGCCTGTACTGTTAGCATTGCAGCTTATGGTTGCAGCGTGTATTTTGATTATGATGTTTTCCTTAGATTTGTTGTTTACCTGGCTGTGTGATGAAGCTGGGTAAGGTACAGTTATTTCCCTCTAAAAGCTTTCTAACTATGTATAGCAGAATTATTAATCGGTTACTGCTTTAGGATAGATTTTTCTCAAAATCTGACACAGTTTATGGATTACTCAAAAAATAAAAATTAACCTGTGGACTTCAAGAGCAAATGTATGCAATGTTCAAAAATATCTGCTACTGCAGCCAATCTGTTGTATAGTTTGGTATAGAGGAGTTGTAAATCTACTGAATTTATTACCATTTGTAAAATATCTATGTTAGCGTGTGTTTTGTTGTCTGTTAATGAGTAGCCTTTTATGATATACAGGTCCTTAGTTCTCTTATCTTCTCTATCTTATTGAACATTTCTAGGTTCTCTGTATTCTTTGGGATATGGAAACTGAAGAAGTTGAAGATATCTTACAGGAATTTGTTAACAAATCGCTATTGTTCTGTGATCGTAATGGGAAGTCGTTCCATTATTATTTACATGATCTTCAACTTGACTTTCTTATAGAGAAGAATCGCAACCAGCTTCAGGTAGAGTATTGGTTAATCTACTTATTTTTAACTTTCCTCTCTAAAGCTGGACACCTTTCAGAAAATGTACCTTTGTTAAATTGTAATCCAGAGCAGTTTCATAATGTAGGTCCAGAATGCAGTTAGTACGGAATAAACATGTTTATTTTCCACTTGAGAATGTGAAGTGTTTTCATGATGGTTCCGCTTGCAGTTAAGAAGCTAATCTGAGAGAAGACTCTATATCCATTGTTTCTCTGTCAAAGATATTTCCAGTAGAAGATGGAACGTTCCGTAGATGATTCCAAAAGACATCAAGAACAAAATTTAGTACTGAGAAGTGCTTTTTACTCTTCCCCCCACCTCCAATTGAGGGCAATGCTTGCAGGAAGAAGCTCTGTAAGTTGGGCCCAACAAACTAGCGTTTTTGGAGAGAGGATAGAAAGATAAAATGTGAAGGCCAGGCAAGATTTTAGATCTTCTTATATCTGCATATGTAAGGGGCTTTTTACATTAAGTGTGGTAGTCAATACAAGAGAGATTTGACAGCTCTTCTCCACCTAAGAAGGAAAGTTAACAGCCTGCTTTTCTATCTTTGGAGAATGTTTCTGGAGAAAATCTTAAGGAGAGCTTGCATTTAAAGTTATATGTGTAACTCAAGTTATTGCTTATTTCATTTGTTGACATTTTACAACTGAGAAATAATAATAATAAAAAGAAGTTCCATAATAGTAAAAACCATCCATACCTTGTTTTGTTATTAACTGAAAATGTGTTTTGATTCATGTTGCAGGAGCTGCATAAAAACATAGTAAATCAGTACAAAAAATGTTACAAACTTAATATGCCTGTTCCATCTCAAGAAGATTCCATGTACTGGTATAACTTTCTAGCTTATCATATGGCAGGTGCCAACATGCAGAAGGTGAGTTCTGACTAGTGTCCTCAGTTTCCTTTCTCTTACCCTCCCCCCGCAGCCCAGCCTAAGTCACTTTTACTCACTTGCCTGCTCTTCTCCCAGGCTTTCATGCGAATACAGAAGCATTCAAGATATAATCCTTTAGGGGCCCCACTGAAAACAATTTTATTTCTACCTTTTATCTCTTACCTTTTTAATCAGTTCCTGAGAAGGTCTTTCTTTCATATCATAATAACTTGTATTTCTTTTCCTTCTGAAGAAGCTTTGATGAGAAGTCTTCTGAATGCTTATATTGTATAGTAGTAAAGATAATCTGGTTTCTTTGCTTTCTTCAGCGAATCTAATATAGTGGTGAACATTTACTTTTTTAATGGAATCTTTCTCATTAGGTCATATTCATTTGCGTATAAAAGTTCATTCTCTATAACAATTTTGAAGAGCTGCCTAATGGGCAAATCTGTGGCTCCCAGGATCGCCTTGGAGTCTTTTTAAAAAAAAAAAAAAAATGCTATCACCTGCTGTTCTTTAGGTACTGAGCTAGTGTAAGATACAAAATCATACGCTGCTTCCGTGATTTCACTGGAATTTGATCCTGGCAACAGCTTACTGCTTTCTAATTTATTTCACATGTGCTAAAATCTCTTCTGTCTCTGTGTGTGTGTTTTTTATATCTATGTATTCTCTCTCTCTCTCTCTCTCTTTGTGTACTCATATTTTACAATAAACATCATAATGAATATGGGCTACAAATCTTTTTTTTTTCCTTAACCAAACTTATCTCACTGATTATCTCAAACTCTAATTCCAATGTGTAGGAAAAAGATGTTTTCATTATAAGCCTTTCTACTTCTATTAGAACTGTTTTCTCAGAGTTTTTTTGGCCTGTCTCATTATGACTGTACACTTAACTTCCCAGAGTGTGTACTCATTTATTTTTCAATATTTAGACATGACTGACTTCTTTCTAGAAGACTATTAAAAGATAACATATATTCTTTGTTTAACCATGACAATTTTTCGATACTTGCCATGTTTACTGCCTTTTAACTGACGATACAGTTTGAGTCTGTGAAGTGTTATCTCTAAGCAGTTTTTTTCACCCTAACAGGTTTACTTTTTTAATACTTCTGCTTGCTGCTTCTGATTTCCTTTAAGCAGCTTTGCCGTTTTTAAGTTAAATGTAGCTCTTAACAGTTTTTTTGCTTTCACTCTAATTCAGTATCTGTTAAGAGGAACAACAGGATTATTATTAGCAGAGTGACCTTTGCTAGACTGGACTAAAAGAGGCTTTTTCAGAATTGTATCTTAAATCAGGTCTTGTGTGCTACAGAATTCCAAGAGTTGTGTCCTTCTCCTGCCCCTCCTCCAAATAGCTGTACCGAGTACAATTGGAGACAATTTAAATGAAGCATATTAAATATTTAATGTATGTCACGTGCTTTTCTTTTTCCCCTTAGGTAGATTCTGTCATGGAACTCATACTTTGAACTGCATTTTGTATTTCTTTTTCTTGTATTTCACAGGAACTCTGTGATCTTATGTTTTCTCTGGATTGGATTAAAGCTAAAACAGAATTGGTAGGCCCTGCCCATCTGATTCATGAATACGTAGAATATAGTTCAGTCCTGGATCAAAAGGTATGATAGTAAAAGGTAAATGATCAGTCTGTTCCAAGTATATTTTATTATCTTTAATTGCATTTTTGTTGGTTGGTTGTTTTTTAAGAGACAGAGAGAAAGAGAGTATAGAGGTATAGAAAGCCAAAAGTAGTGCTAAGTGGAACTTTAATTTGAAGAGGAAGAATTAAGAAAAATAAAAAAAAAAAATCATTTTCAGTCTTAGTTATAACTTCAGTGTGTACCCAAGTAATTAACCACGAAACTCAGTAACTAAGGAAAACATCAATAATTTAGCTGGGCCCATACAGTACTCTCTTTCTGGACTGGTGTTAGAATTTTACTGGCCTCTTGAAATAGTCCTTCTGGTATTTCATATTGGCTACTCATTGAGTAAAGCACCGTTACCAATACGATTCATTTGAAAAAGTAAGAATAATATGCTTTCCTGAATAGGATAAAGAAATATTCCAGTCTATCATATACACTTACTAATAGAATAGAAAATGTGCTTCTGTAAGGATATTAATTCTACAGAAAACTTAAAAAGAAAAGGCACTAGGATATTAATCCACTTTTTATACCGTTCAAAATTATCTGCTCTGTACATAGGATAGCATAGTACGTGAGAACTTCCAGGAATTTCTGTCTTTAAATGGGCACCTTCTTGGACGGCAACCGTTTCCTGACATAATACAGCTGGGTCTTTGCCAGCCAGAGACATCAGAGGTGTATCAGCAGGCCAAGCTACTTGCTCAACAAGAAGAAGGAGCATTTTATTTGGAATGGATGTAAGTATTGCAATCCATCTGCTGATATGCTGATTCCTTGATCCAGGAAGGACATTTAGTCTGCAATTAAGTACCATGTAGAGCTAATATAAGGACCTTTCTAAGAAGTGCTGTGTTTTTCATGGGGAAAAGAAATGTAGTAATTTTGAAGAACTCGTTGGAGAAGGTAAACTTCAGACGTGTAAGGCCACAGATAAATAATAATTACATTGAAATAAACGTAAGAATATATTTACTTCTATACTCAATGAACATCATTTTAAATGTCCATGGAAAGATGATGATAAACTTTGAATTGAAAGTTCTCTAAATACACTTTTGTTTAAAAACAAAAGTAATGCAAATATCATGTATGTATGTTATAGTATGTTTTTAGTTTTTCTAGTAAAACTTAACCCTTTAAAAGAATTATTTGTGTTGACTGATGAAGCTTTTGAAAGAAGTGAGATGGGAAACACTAAAAAGGCTTTGTAGTATCTACCTGCTCTTGCAATTTCTGACTTATAAAACTTCTGTTTTCATATCTTTTGAAGTTGTGTGATTGTGTAAGCAATACATATGTAAATATTTTCCCAGGATACCTTGTAATGGCTTGTAGCCCAGTGGTCATCTGGTTATGTAACCCTCCCTTAGATTCTCCTTTTTAATGTTTCTGTTTTGTTATCTACAGTAGTTGGTGGTTACAAAGTAAACTGGTTATCAGGTAATTAGGGTAATAACCAGGAAGGTAGAAATCTTAACGTCTTGTCTTTGAGTGTTTCCTTGTTTCATTTTGCAGAGCTAATTTTAACGGAAAAGCTTCGAAGATGCACACTTTAGAAGAGTCAGTGTCCAGGTGGTTTAGGACTTTAAGCCTGGATGTGGGAGACTTATGTCCAAGTATTTGGCTGAAATCAGCAGAACAGAGACTTGGATGTTTTTGTCTCCTGTCCTAGGTTAACGTCCTCAGAAGTGGTTTATACGATAGATGGGGGAATAACCTGCTCTCTTGACCAGTAATTTTAGCCTTTTTAAAATATACCAAAATTTATATTTTGGTTTTGACCAGTCAGTATTTTGCAGTGAAAAATTGCTTTGGTTTTAAAGCTTAGCTACTTTACTCAAGATGTTTTACCCAGGATTTAAATGCTAAGCCTGAGAATTGAAAACGATGATGATGAAAATGTGAAGTACTTGGATTCATTTTGCCTCTAGAGAAAAAATTTAACTTGCAACAATATGTTCATCACCAAAAATGATCTTACCACAATGACAGCTTTCTGTGATAACATCTGACTAAACAGGATGATTACAGTTGCTATTAATGAAAAATTTCTTGTTCAAGTGGGGTTAGAATCACCCGAAGTGTATTAGATTCTGTACTTAATCTCTGACTAAAATGCAATGATAATCATAGCCTTTGTTCAAATACCTAGTCATGTGAATTGAATCATTGCTATAAAAGTCAAGTAAATTTACTCAGGTCTACACAAATGCACAGATGGTTTTGGATAAATTTGAAAGGGAGCCTGCAGGAGAATAAGAAGTTTTAGGAAGAAATTTGTGTTTGGAAATAGCACATAGAAGATCCTAAAAAAGTTGTTAGGAAACTTGTGTCCTGGAAGGGGTGCAACACCTCCACATATAAAGTAACTGTTAATTTCTCATGCACATATCGTATTTTTTGGGATCTAACCTTTAGCTATTGGCAGGCAAATGTAAGAGTGAATGTAGGAATATTTTTTTCATTCATTATTTCTACTTGAGGGCAGAGAGTTAAGGTTTCTGTGTGTTTTTTTTTGTTTGTTTTTTGTTTTTTAAGCCTGCTGCTCAGGATGTGTAAACAAGAGGGTTTTTTTTTAAAGGATTTTGAATAATAAACCCTGTGAAATCTTGCTTATTGACTATTTTATCTTGTAGAAATAAAAAATCCATGAGAAACCTCTCCCGTCTGGTTGTTCGTCCGCACAGAGACGCAGTTTACCATGCGTGCTTTTCTCACGATAGACAAAGAATAGCGTCATGTGGAGCCGATAAAACACTACAGGTAAAACATCTATGCAACAGTGAAATGAAAGGCCACATGCCGTTTTGATAACAATTTGTTAACAGTCTTTTCCCTTTTCTTCTTCTGATATGTGAAGATAATAGGGATCTAGAACGTATTGGAAAGAAATGGTTTTATTATTATATAAACATGGATTTGCATGTTTAAAATAGTAAGTAGTTCTCGTTGAAATGCTAAGCCTGCGTGCTTTCGTGGTTTATACCCTAACTGATGTAATGCATAGTCAAGCTGAAATCCCTCTTGATGATATGGAGAAGCTCACTGAGTAAGCAGCACGGCCCAGTATATTTCGTATTTGTTTGCAAAAATGATGCTGCAGCTCACAGATTTTCTGCAGAACTGAAAAACATTAAGACCTTTTAGTTATAGCATTACAGTCTCCATGGGATGTATGCTACTTTGGTGCTTAGGTGGTGAAATGTCTTATGCAAAAGAAACAAATCCGGGGAGAAAAATGAGTCCCTGAAATTAAGGACAATATCAGGTTGGAAACAGGTACAAAATGCTGAGAAAGTGGATAAGGGGAGACAGAGAGGAAAGTGACTAATGCCAATTTGCCAGCAGTCTGCCTGGAGGGGAGCCAGCCAGCTCTCAAGGAAACTAGCAATCAGCCAGCCAGTAACCTGGTCAAGTATCCTTATTCCAGACAGCTGAAGGTAAGGGTAAAGAGCAACTTTTCTGCAAGCCTTTGGTATTGTTTTGGATGCTTGACAAGTTGAATACTAATATTAAAGTACTAGTGATGTTTAGTTGCTGTTCATCTGGCTATTTCATGTGTTGTTATTGTGTTATTTATTTATTTATTTGCTGGCTTCTACCGCATTATGATCCTGACCTCCAGTTCAGGAGGTACCTGGTGGATGTGCTAGTTTTATGCTGTGCTGAAGTTACTGTGCTGAGCTTCTGTACTTGATGTTCTTATTAAGACTGCAGGTTGCTTATTTTTCCCTTTGTTTTTTTTCCAAATTAAAAAGAAAATTCTGTGAATTGCAATTGCATTTAAGCTAAACAGTTTTTGTAGAAGTAATGGGAAGATTAACCAGTTGTTGAAGAAATAATGGGAAAATTAACAGTAATCTTGTTTTTATTGTTTAACATTGAACTTAATCATGTTTTCCATAATGGTGGCATGGAAAGAAAACGAGGGGTTTTTTTTTCAGTTCCTATGGCTATTCCTGCTGTTTCTGTAAAGTAAAAAATCATGATTGCTAGATTAAGAGCAGACATCCTGCAGAACCTACTGTAAATGTAGATTTCCTATTACTTCAATATTTATGTTATTTTAACAAATGTCAGCCATTTCACTGTCATTGATGTTCCCATTCAGTGAAACAGGAAAAGAAAAAATGCAGACTTCACAGTTGTAGCATCCCGAATGCTGCTGTAAGGAACACCTTGTGATTGGTTTGAATAATTTAAGAATATGTAACCTTGAGAAGGAAAGGGAGACCTGAATGCTTCACTGTTGTAAAGTTAAATCCCAGAATGTTTGGCAGACTGATTAATGTGACTGTTTTTCCCCCCAACTGCCCTTTTCCTCTCTACAACTAGCTCAGGACGGTATTGTCTTGTCTGAGTAAGCTTTTTTAATTACTACTTTTCCTGTTTGTTCATCACCATATGCTGTTAAATCACATGTGCTGCTAAAATTCTTATTTTCAGTTGAAAAATATTATTAAAACTACTAATTCCAGGTTTATATGTATAATAGCTTTGATTTTTTAGAAAGGTTTCTGGCTGCTGTGTATATTTTGTTGAGCCCTTTTGCAAAAAAAAAATGGCTTTTTCTACCCTCATTTTCTAAGCCTAAATCCATGTCCTTTGTCAGTGTCTTTTAAGAATAACTGCATAACACAGTATCTATTAGCAAAATCTATTTTCACCAATTCATTGCCCTGACAAATTCTATTATCTTTGCAAAATTGAAACTCAAATTTTTTTTTTTCCATCAGGTTACTTTCCATCAAATTATAAATGTTTTCAGAGTAAAACCCATTTTATGAATAAGAGCTTATATAGGAGAGCTATTTGAGAGAAAAAGAATGTTATTTTTGTTTAGCGTGTTTTAAAATTGTATTTGAGTTATAAGATTTCACTATTCGTTGTGTTGTTTCTGTAGGTGTTTAAAGCAGAAAGTGGAGAGAGACTTCTGGAGATAAAAGCGCATGATGATGAAATACTTTGTTGCGCTTTCTCTGCAGATGATTCCTTTGTAGCAACTTGTTCAGCTGATAAAAAAGTGAAGGTAAGGAAATGGAGTGCAGACATTTTTTTTTTTTTTTTTTCCAAAGAAATAATTGTGATTTGAATTTTAACCAACTTGAGCAGGGCTAGTTCTTTGGGCTAAAGTGTTGGGGTTTTTTGTTTGTTTGTTTGTTTTTTAACTGTGCTAAAATTTATGTGGATAATTCACTGCTTACGGAGAAACACGATAATACATGGAATATAAGTGGTAATTCTGTAGGTATGATGTTAACACAGGGAAAGTGTTCAACATAACATAGGACTTGTATGAGTCTGGTCCTGTTTGTAACATGTGATGTGAATTTCTCTGGTTGGTTGTGGGGGTTTTTTTGTTTTTTTTTCCCCCCGTGTTGGGTTTTCTTTGGTAATTTGTAATTCCTCAGCATTACAACAATATCTTAATGATGTTCTAGTCTTTCTCAATTTGTCATTTGAACTAAGACCCTTCCTCTCCCCACTCCTCCATCTCTTGATTGTTCAAGTGCTCTGCTGTGAAGGTTTGTAAAACGAAAAATAACCTAAAATTGAGTCTTGACAAGTATAAGTTGTTTTTACTTGGTTGCAAAAACCTTGTTATACAAAAGTGTTACTGTAAATATCATGTTCCAGCTGTTTGTGTTTTGAAAAGTGTATTTCTCTATCTCAGCTAATTGTGCTAACTTGAAGTCAATCTTTCATTTCTAAATGTAAAGCTAAATATACATGTTTTTCTGTTCTCTTCCAAAAATGTGAGGTGTGATTAAGAGCATATAAGGACTTCAGCTTTACTCCAGCATAGCTAAAGATTTTTTCAAATAAAGTACATTAACAATATTGTTAAAGTGTTTTTTATCCTTTAATTCTGTCTAGATCTGGAATTCAAGAACAGGTCAATGTATGCACGTGTATGAAGAACACTCAGAACAGGTCAATTGCTGCCAATTTAATAACAGAAGTGGTCAGTATCTTTTAGCCACCTGCTCAAATGACACTTTTATCAAAGTAAGTGGAAAAGGATGAGATTGTTCTCATACTGCTTGCCACATACAGGATAACTATCGATATACAAATGTACTTTTAACATTGTAAAATAAGCTTTTTCAGTTGGCCTGTTAGAAGAGAGATGGCAACAGATTAAGAGTATTGAATACAACTCTATAATCGGATTTCAACAAGGCAGAATGGAAGGAGTGGTTATACCTAGCAAAAGAGAATGGGCCAATCCTCTCTTGGTAGGGCTTAAAGGTGAGGGCTTTGGCAAGACTTACAGAGGGTGGATGGGAATGGTAGAGTATGGAAATGGAATATCTGATTAAAAGCAGTGTAAGAAAAATGAAGGCAGAAATTTAGAATTGAAAACATTCATAGTGTAAACAATTGCATGCTGGAAGCTTAAAAAAAAGCTTTATGCTGTAGAAGTTACAGGCAGCTATGTTTTTTTCACAAAGTTGTTTGGTGATAACAAAGAAAAGAAGGTGAAAGCCAGCAAAAAACAGTAATCGAGGCAAGAGATGTACCAGGTTAACCATCTGGCACTGTTCAGATTGGGAGGAAGTATATTTACTTTGAAAGAGCAGAAAACAGCCAACTGCAATCTGCATCTGAGGGGAGGGGGAAAAGAAAAATCAAATAAAACTTAGACTGCGGTAAATAAAGGTGCAGTCTCACAGCACAGCTAAGCAAATGACTAGTTAACTGGCACTGAAAATGGTGGGCCTGCTGTCCTGGCTGTACATTCCTGCTTTTTTGCAGTGCATCTCCTGACCTTATTCTGCAGTAAATGCAGTTCAAGGAGCTAATCTGGCAAAAAATCCTTTTGACGGGATTAGTTTTCTCCTTGTGTAGTTCGCTGTACTGGCTCATTGCCTAGTTCTAGTGCAAGAGAACTGTTGGGAATACATAGCGAGGAGCAGGATTGCTGTCTCTTCCAGGCTATGAGGCTGGCTCAGTGGTAGTGTGAAATCTCATCTGAAGAATTCTGGCAAGAGACTGTGTTTGTGTAATGTGAAGTTGTAATAAGAGCTGATGTCAAGAAGGAAAGAAGAGGCTTAGTTTGTGCTGACTCCTGCAAATCCCAGGAGATGCACCTGCTGTTTGACACTTTGGAATAGGTAGATTTAGAAGGGAGCTGTTCAAAATGACCACTTTTATACTGTAAATGTGGTTAAGATTTTAGACAGTGTGATATTTTCATGAGTAATGAGCCTTAGAACTGAAGCATGCACCAAAAAAAAAAAAAAGTACAAGCAGCTGTTCTTTCTTTGAGTTCTCAGCTGAGTAGTCAAAGCTGTTAATTGTTTTTATCTTGGGGAAAGCAAAGAAATTTGAAAACTGAGACAAAGGGAGTGTGGGGGACAGGACTAGAAAGGTGGGGGTGGGGAGAGGGAAGGAAAAACCCACAGGGAATGCTCTGTTCATTTTATTAGTAACTGTGGTAAGGGTGATGTTCGGAAGGTCTAAGACTGACCTCATAGATTTGCGTTTGAGAATTATGTAGCTTACACACAATACTTAATTTTGAAAACGAAAGGGAAAGGGGCAAGAGGAAGCTTCTTGGGGCTTAGTGAAGGGCCTTGTCTTCACTAAGAAAGATGCACAGAAATTTTAACTAGCTCTAGATAGTTCTGCTGTTCATAGTTTTCGTCAAAATTAGCAGATGGAAGTAAATTGTGGGGGAGCCTGAGACATAGCATGAAGTCTATGAGCATATGGATAAAATTAAGAAAAACTTCTCAGGTTTTGGATATCAGTGCATGCTTTTGAGAAGTGTGTGAAGTCTATTTTTGAATAATTCATGAATATAATGATATTTATATGTTTGCTTTTTATGCAGCTTTGGGATTTGAACAGAAAATATTGTAGAAATACGATGTTTGGTCATGTAAATTCTGTCAATCATTGTAAATTTTCACCAAATGATGAATATGTTGCTAGCTGCTCAACAGATGGAACAGTAAAGGTATGCAATATATTTTTAAATAAATTTCTTGTTTTGATGGTTTTATCAGCTTACATAAAATACAAAATATATATAATAAAACTTTGTATCTGTTTTATCAGCCTTAATGAATTAAATCATGAAATATCACGGTAGAACAGTTGAGCATTGTTCCCATTTATAGCAAGAGACTGAAACGGCCTGTCCAATACCAGAAAGAAAACTGTCTGCGGTTGTTTGGAAATGAGGCTTTTTAAAAAAAAAAAAAAAACAATCTTTTGCTTTTCACCATCTCTCTTTTTTCTTGATGTACTTTGTTAAGAGAATGGAGGGAGAGGCTTTTTGTTTTGAAACTTGTAAAAGTCACACATGCATAGCAGATTTTTAGATTAATTGAAAATTTTATCATCTCTGAAAATGAATCATCAGTAAATACTGTTTTTTTTTTTTTTAAATAAGTTCTATTTTAATGTACAGACTAGAAGAGAGTTGGGGGGGTCATGCTGGCTTTTTGGTCAAAATGGAAATATTGTTTTCATTCAAATAGCTGCTGTAATTGTCTTTGCTTGCAATAGAACCGTACTATTTCAAAACAGCAATTCCTAAAGCACTCTTAGCTTTCTATAGAGTTGCTAAATCAGCAAAGAAAGGTTACTGTAGCTGTTGTCATTCAGAAAGAAAGATAAGGTGGAAGGAATGGAAATAAGCAGTAGATCTTTTTGCAGATGTCTCAATGAGATTACGGTACAAAGCTAAACATGTGCCAGCTTACTCATGATGAGTGGACTTGACAGAGTGGCAGAACAGATAACTTATTTTTTACTATTTATTTTATTAGAAAGTAAAAAATGAGACAAAGCTGTAGCTGGAATTGTATTAGGGAAACCCAGAGAGAGGGTTCCACCATAGAGTAATCCTAATTTTTTTTGTCTAAGCTTGTGAATATTTAATGCTATTTCTTGACCTGGGTAGCAGGAAATTAGCAGAGGCTTTCTTGCCTGTATTTTTTTTTTCCTCTATCCTTCTTCCCTAAATGTGACTGGGAGATAACTCTCCCCTGTTGTATTCCATATCCTCACCAGTAAAAAGGGTTTTCATATGCTGTTTTTATTTTTTTCTTGAAGCTTTGGGAAGTGCGCTCAGCAAATGAACTGAAAACTATTGAGATAAAAGATTTCTTCAGAACTGCAGATGAGCAACCAGATGACGTGGAGATCTTAGTAAAGTGTTGCTCTTGGTCAGGAAATAGTGCCACAATTTTGGTGGTAGCCAAAAATAAGCTTCTGGTAAGTACCTCACGTGAATAATTTTCTAGAAGTAGTATATTATTATCCAGGTAGAAATTATGAACGAAGACAATATTCTAAGCTATTAAGAAGTTTCAGGTGCATGGTTATAAGTGTGCTTTCAATAAAAATATGTGGACAACGAACTTGTTAACTGGGAGAAATACCGTCTAAATTAAAAAATGTATGCTGTTGAGGATTTAAACTATTTGTCTGTAGTGAAGCCTTCCAGAGTGGATGCTAACTATTATAATTATGTGTTCACAGCTCTTTGATGTTAAAACAAGCAATTTGTTAAATCAAGTCGTTGTAAGTCATCACAGTACAATCCAGTACTGTGACTTCTGTCCTGGTGATGAGTTAGTAGCAGTTGCTTTATCTCACTGTTCTGTTGAGGTAAGTGTTTGCCTTTGCTAAAGCAAGCAAGAATTGCTTTACCAGGCAAGACTAATTGTAATATAAAGTAAGCTATACTTGTTTTAGGAGGTGCTTTTTACTAACATAAAAATTAATGTAGTTATTTAGCGGGCTTTCAACGTGCTTCATTCTTTTTCAATTTTGTTCACCTCTAAAACGTAAACTATGAATTGGGAAATGACGTGTTCAAGTTATACATTCATTTTGGATGACAGAATTCAGGTTTACTTAAAAAGACTAGGCTACTATGTTTATTTAATGTTACCACTATCATCCTCAGAATAGAGGCCTTCCCATTTCTTAACTCAAAAAATGAAATAAACCAAACCCCTCTCATTCTATGTACCACTGCAGGATGTGTCAATTCACCAAAGTAGAAAACAACAACTGGAGTACCTTAGTCTAGCCATGCTAATCCTAAAGCCTGTGGAAGTATCTTATTTTCTGAAACTTGCTTGGTCAGTTGAACTTTTATTTTTATACCACGATTTTATGTCGCCTTTTTGTTTTCCCTCTTTCCCACCCCCACCTCCCTCTTCTAGAAGTTAGCAACTAAAGAGGCAGCTGAATTTTTTTCCTGAACAACAAAATATAATAAGCAGAAGCTTTAAAAGGTGACTTCTTGTTAAATGTACAATTTCAGGGTGACAAGTAAGAAAACGCTAGAGGAAAGAGTAACTAAGTATCCTTCTTCTGGGTTTTGCACTGTTTTCCTTGTAAATATAATCTAAATCCATCTGAGTTCTTCTTTCATATTTTTGTTGTAGTTATGGAATATTAAATCATTATCAAAAGTAGCAGATTGCAGGGGACACATGAGCTGGGTTCACTGTGTGATGTTTTCCCCAGATGGATCTTTATTTATAACATCCTCTGATGACCAGACCATACGGGTAAGATGACATCTCTCTCCTTTTGAAGTTGTGAGATACACACACGTACGCACTCACTCACTCACTCTTACGTGTGTGTATGTATGTATATGAATATATGTGTATGCATTTGCATACGTGTGTGTATGTATACATACATGTATATATGTGTGTGTACGCATGCATGCATATACACACATGCATGTACTGCCTGTTTTGGGGTAGGAAGAGGCTCTCTTCTCTTAGACTTGGATTTAACTTTTAAAGATGCCAGCTCATTTTTAGAGTATATCTCTGTAATTTTAAGTCTGATGTCTGTTCAAGACAGTCTGCTTTGATTTAGAGCTCATCTAAATGTGGAATTGTCAAGTTTTTTGAACATCCTTTTGTAAGCTAGAAGAGGTCATACTGCTTTCATTGTTAGATATATATACGTGTGAATTTTTAGGATAGTTTTCTATGTACTCTTATTCAGCAAGTTTTATATCTGGTCTTTTGTTCAACCTTATGAAATACTGTTTTTGTTTTTTTTTCCAACAGATTTGGGAGACAAGCAAGGTGTGCAAGTCTTCTGATGCTGTGCTAAAAAGTGAACTTGATGTTGTGTTCCGCAATGATGAAGTGATGATTTTAGCAATTTATAATCAGCAGCATTTACAAGTAAGTTAAATTTCTCAATTTAGTAATGCGTTTGCATGTTATCTGCAAATCGCAGTAGTTAAGAGGAAATACTGAAACGGAGGAAACGCTGAAAGGACTGCTCATTCATAGCTTTCAACAGTTGAACCCCTAGCAGCTGACTTAACGGGTGATAACATTTTTATGTCTATAGCTAGGAACTCTGCTTAGTTTAGTAAGCAAAAAATGAACTTTTGAGGGGAAGTTTCTGCCCTGGTGAGGGAACTGAACGAGGCAGTGGAGGGGCAAAACTGTTTCTTTTGGAGGACTAGGGAGGCTGTGGGCCTTGTAAATGTGCTTAGGTGTGTACAGCAGAATGAAATGTGTACAGCACGCACAGACCAAGCGCTACGCAGCACATGTGTACCAAATGCATCAGACGGTACTACCATGTATTAGCCAAAGGAATGATTTCAAATTGAGGGAATAAGAAGGAGAGCATAGGAGAGCATGGGCTTTTTGTTCTAAAGAAAGCATTGGTAGTGGATACACTGTTATTGCTCTCTTTTTCCCCCCTCCCCGTAGACTGCTAAATACACCAACATCCAAAATATTTGTTGCCATTCCATAATAGCAAATGCACATTTTTTTTAAAGCAGGATTCCCTAATACATCAAATAATCCCCAAATCAATGGGATTTTCTTTAAAGAAAAGTCAATAAAGCTTACTCAGATTATGCTTCCACTTGACTGCAGCAGTTTAAAAGCAGAAATATACTATTTGTTGTAGAATGCTGCTTATGCAAACTGGTGGTATGCAACAGTCCACCAGATGGGCAGCCCTGATTCTAGACTTTTGGCTATGGGGTAGCTATTTCAAGTGTTTAGCCAAAAGCAGTAGCTAACTAGGAACAAATCTTTGTTTTTCTTGAATCTGGTGAAGTTTTATTGCAGATTTTGTAGGTGGTAGAATGTTGGAATAGATTCTGCTGCCCTGTGCCCTGCTCTGAGGGACACTGTGCAGGTAATCTGTTTGCATAGGGTCTCATGCTTTCACCTGATTTGGCCAGAGATTAATGTCAGCTATGTAATCCTGGCTAATCAGCGTGGCCAGTGCCAATATTTCTTGTCTTAGGCATTCTTAGCGTTTCTTAGGCAGCTAATAGAACGTGAGCTTGCTTTCTGGAAATTTTTTTTTGTTTGTTTCCATGTGCTTCCTGTTTATTTCTTCCAGACTATTTTCTGTCCTTCCTCTATTATTTGTCCTGCCAACAAGTTAGTTCTTACTGAAACTAGAAATACTGTAAAAGAAATTTAAGTGAAATGATCCTTGAACTTTGGTATTTGAATAGTGGAGAATATGAACATGGAGCGGAGTAGAAATAGCTAGAAAGTCTCCAGTGGAGCTTTGACAATAAAATAAATTTTTTATTGGAACCCATAGAATATATGAGCAAAGAGAAGCTCTTTGAAATGTTCACATAAATTTTAATTTCAACATGTACTGCTTTCTATCTGCTGCACTGAGCAAGGGACAAACCACAGTGAATGGAGTTAAGCTGCTCCCCACAAATGAATGGGTATAGGGTAGATGTTACTTCCTATCCTGTTGATCTTAACCATGGTTTTTTCTTTCCTTTTTTTTTTTTCTGTCTTTAGAGGAGGGGAAAAATAAAAATGTTTCTGCTAATTGTAAAATCTGTAAAGCATTTCTGGAGCTATTTGGTAGACTACTGTGCAATGGTTTAGTCCAGCTGTTGTCTAAATTAGTAGACCTGATCTATTTATTTTGTTTATTGTTATCTGTCTGTCTATTTATTTATGACTTAGTATGTTTCTGTTACAGCTTTAGTTGCATGTTTTCTAAGAGAAAGATGATGGTTACGTTTGTCTGCCCTAAATACAGTATTCTGACTTCTGCAGAGTTGCAGTCACCAGAGACGTCTGACATAGCAAGAGAATTGATTTTCACCCATGAGCGAGAATTTGACTGAAAAGACAAATTGCAGTTAAAAATTTGTGCTCTAATTTAACAGTAGATCTCTACTATTATATCTCTTAAAGTAGTTTTTCTTGCATCTCTGATTTTTTTTGCCTTTTGTAATTTGTGATCTCTCAGAATCGGGGTACTAGTCACCTTTTAATGAGTAGTGCAGCATGTTTTTCTTTAACCCCTTTCACACTGATATCTTTTTAAATTTCAACTTTTTCGTAAATCATTATGTACTAAAGGTTTTTAGTTTTGTTTTGTTCTTTTTGTCGCCTCTCCCCTGGAGAAGTGATTTGAGAGTGATACTGGGCCTGAGACTTGTATTGTGTATGCTAATGAGTTTAAAGTCATGCTTAGAGGAGGCACTTAAAGTATTTTATGCCCCATTTGTTATGAGCTGTAAAGTTTGACTGGCAGAATAAATTTAAGCTTGGAGCTAACTGCATAGCTTTTAGATTTTTGTTTGAAATTTGGAAATAGTATGTTGAGTGATTGTTTTTTTATGCTCAAATAAAGTTTAAAAAGCCTTCTATTACTCAGATGTTTCCTTCTGCAAACTTCTACTGTTCAGAGCACATTGTACGGAGATGATAATTACACTGACCTCTAAAGCATTATTTACAAAAGTAACTGATCTAGATCATTTGGAATGTGAAAACTGGCGCACTGTTCTTTTCAACATTTTGAGCTCTATATTGTAGTTGTATTTAGGTTTAAACTTTAAAATATTATATTACCCTAATCCAGTCCTTGTGTTGCAGCTTATTAATGGAAATACAGACAGCGTTATTATGCAGACAGAAGCTCAGGAATCCCTTATTTGCTGCTGTTGCTTAAGTGAAGATCTTAAATTTGCAGCATTTGGACAGGAGAATGGAACAATAAAGGTATTAAATCCTGAATTTGGTTTAAAAAATGATAGGGAAATACATTTCTCGGTGCTACTGTTAAAGAACAAATGTTATTTGAATGACTTCCTACAATGACATTTCTTAGTATAGTACTTCAAAGTTTTTACTTTTGTGATTGATACCCAAATGACAATAATTTGGAGGTAGTGCTAATCATGCAGTTCCGCCTTTCATTTTACCAAGGGCTAAGGTAATACAAATGTGTTTGTTTTTCCAACTTGCTGATCAAGAATCATGGATTTGCAGTCTTCTGTTATTTAAAAATATGTTGTTCTTTTCCATTTCCTCAAGCGTGTAAAAATACATTAATTGTTGCATTCTTCATTGTAAAGGTATTGCAATTGTCAGATGGGAAAGTTTTGAAAACCTGGGAGGCGTACAGAACATCTGTGCAGCATTGTCAGTTTACCTCTGACTGTCAGACTCTCATTTCAAGCGCTCATGATTCAGTCATACAGGTTTGGGAGATATTTAAAATCGTTATATTGTAACTTACAATATATTTGTTTTATTTTTTATACTATAGATAATGTAAGCTCTGTAAATGACTGCTGCGTTTTGTTTTGTTCCATCTTCATCCTGTCCATTTTGAATGGAGCCTCTTTACAATTTTCAGTAGTGTGGCTTGGCAATTTTGGTTCTCTTACTACTTTAATTTGTGCTCGGACTGCTGATTTAACTTGCATGATGCTCTAGCAAGCCATCTATTTGTCACCATGGAGTAACAAATGAAATGTATGTGATGAATAAGTAATTTTAACCCATAGTCTGATAGATATAATTTAGAAATTGCAAATTCTAAAATACTGATTTCATTTTATGAAAAAATAAATGTTTATTGTCAGTGAGTATATGGAGATTTAGGGATTTTTTTTTTTCTTCCAAATTTGTTATAGTGATGATAGGAGCATCTTATCAATACGTCTAAAAAACTATATTTTTTAAATAGGCTGAAAGGAGAGAAATAACAGTGCTTCTCTGAATGGGTAAAAATCAAGAAGCACCAAGTTAGAGCACTAGATGAGAACAAGGAACTGTAGAACCTGTAGCCTCTATTTGTACTTGGGTAATAAGGAATCTTACCCAATTTCTATTTTTGATGCTGTGGATGATAGAAAACCACCAACTCCTTGAGGTAGGTGAAAGGAAACATTAATATTCAAACAAGATAGCTCAGAAGTTCTCCTGATATTGTAAGTGAAGGGTTTAGGATCTGACACAGGATGTCCTTGAGCTGGTCTATGCTGCTGAAAAGAATGGGATAAAAAAAAAAAACTGGCCTTCGAGCAAGCTAGTATGTCCATCTAGTACAGTACAGTTCTGAATGTAGAGAGTAGCTAGAAAGAGAATGGCTTCACTAATGTAGTCTCAAATTAATAAGCTCTGCCCCTCAGCAGAGTTGACTGGCTCCAGAGAAGCATTCTGATGTGTCTACATTAGTGTTTTAGCTTGGCTCAAGAATGTACTTTTGAAGAGAATGTCCTTGTTTATGCTTACTGTGCCTTAGCTTGCACTGCAGAGTAGTCGTAGGTGTCCAGACAAGATTCCTAACTAAATGAGAGCCTGTGCTCCAACCGCTGGTGGAGGTTGAGTCTACACAGCCAAATATAAGCTAGTTTGAAGCAAAACCTCCAAAACATGTGGATGGTGGTCCTCAGCATCATTTTAGTCACCTGTTCCAGCTTCATTGTTCTACCTACTTGCTAATGTATGCATGATTTATGCTGCAGCTGGTTCTGATGTTAGTGTTTTGTTGTGCCTTTACATTGAACTTGTGAATTTGAAGCTGCCTTAAGTGCCTTCACTATGGTCAATTAGGTAGTATAGTTACAGCCCGCCTATTTATTGGCTTTTGGATCCGTCCCTCAGGTTTAGATACCTGGGTAGCTTTTTTCTAGGTCCTCAGCTCCCCCTAGTGGATAGTGCCTCAGTTAAGCCTTGAGGATTTTCATGGGACTGCCTCTAGTTACCGTTCGTTCTTTGATGTGTAAAACATATTAATTTGGAAACCTATTAAATCATCCTTCTTCTTGAAGTCTAATAGCTTCTATAAATATAAAGACACTTGAATTTTCAGTACACAGTTGAACTGAAATCATAAAAGCACAGATCAAAATGACATTTCCTTTAAAAATATGCTTTAAAAATGTAAAGGAAAGCTAAATTAAGTATAGAAAGTATGAAGTCTGCCAGAAGACATAAGGGTATTTGTTGTAATAATCAGAAGCTTTAAGCCCAGAACATCTGAGGTGCCTAGTAGACAATTGTTTTTTTTTTTCCTTTGAAATTACTAATGAGATTTAAACATTTAATTCACTTTAGAAATCAGATTCTATGCATATTATAGGGCAACAGTTTTATCTTTCACACTTTGCTATGATTAGTGAATTAAAATGAACTCTGCCATAGTGTGGCTATTAAATACTACAGTAGGCGCATTCAATATAGTACCTTTTAATGAGTTGCAACCTACTTAAGAATTTTTATATCGTTCCCATGGGTTAAAATCAGTCAGTTAGTTCTTTCCTCTTAAGTTATATCCATCATAGGTGTGTGTGTTTTTGTGGTGTTTTTAAGTATTCCGTCTTTTTAAATAGGTATGGTGTTGGCAGTTGAAAGAATGTGTGTTTCTAAGAGGGCACAAGGAAGCAGTCAAGGATTTTAAACTTCTGGAAAATTCAAAACTTCTTTCTTGGTCATTTGATGGAACAGTTAAGGTAAATAAAAGGCTTTGTATTGATAAATCACAAATATATTTTAATCAAATTTTTTTTTACTCTTTGGTAGGTTCTGCACGTTATGTTGACACATATTTGATTGAATTGATACTTAAATGTAAGCTGCAGAAACATTTAAAACTCGAATTTGCATTTTATATTGCTTTTGAGGTTCAAATTCTTGTATTTTAGCTATGTCAATAAGTATATCAAAATATATATTGTATTTGGACCTTGTAGATGAGCTTTATCTTGCATATGTAAGATGCAGTTGTTTAACCTTTCTGCAGTGTTACAAAAGTGAGCTGTTTTTTCCATATGCTTTTTAGGTATGGAATATCATAACTGGAAAAGCAGAAAAAGATTTTACTTGCCATGGAGATACTGTTCTCTCTTGTGCTGTTTCACCTGATGGTAGTAAGTTTTCGTCTGCTTCTGCTGACAAAACTGCAAAGGTTGGTTACTTTATGTACAAGGATAAACATGATGCTTGGTCCTGACATTTTTGCTATATCTTTTTGTTATGAGGTAACCAGTGATTACTCAAGTTATCATGATGTATTTCTAAAATTAAATTTCCTGTGTCTGTGAACATGTTTCTAATGCTGTTAGAGATGGTCAGAATTAATCTTGAATATACCTCAAGGCTGTCCTGGTGACTTCTATACAAATGAAATGCCCATTTAATGGGCAAGTAGTCCATACAGAACATTTTCTGGTGTTCTTTGTATTGATTTTTATTAATAGCCTAATGTTCTAATTTGGAAACCTGAGTCAAAAAAATTTCTGAAAATTTCAGTGGAAGTCTTGTTCCTAGTTTCTGGTATTATTTCTGCACAGAAACAAAGTGAAAGTAGTGAACTGTTTAATACTCTGGGGGTGTCCTATTAGCATTTTTTTAAAATAGCTATGAATTAATTAATGAATCCTCTTTCTGTAAAACAATTTCATGAACTTTCTTCTAACTGAATCAGTTACATCAAAGTACTTAAAAATTACATCAAAGTCTTTTCCCCCCTCAAAAATATATTTACACTTGGTTCAGTGATTTGTAGCAATTGTGTTCTTGTGTGATTCAGATAATAAAAGGAAAAAACATACAAGCTACAGTAAAACATGTGCACACACACAGTCACCCACAGTTGTGTGTGTGTGTATTTGTATATATGTACACATACAAAGCGTGTTGTTCATTTGAATACTAATGCCTTCTTAGAAAGAATGGATGAAAACCTAATTGTTTTTGAAGTGTCAGTTATCTTTTTTCACTCTTCTGTAATGTTTCCCATTTAGATATGGAGTTTTGAAAGTTCATCTGTTATTCATGAGCTGAATGGTCATGAAGCCTGTGTGCGATGCTGTACTTTCTCTTCTAATAACAAATTATTAGCCACTGGAGACGACAAAGGAGAAATAAGGGTACTGCTTTAACCTTACACTTTACTTCATAATTTAATTGATAATTAGTTCACAGACTGAAGAGTTCTAATATTGTGTTCTGTATATCTAATTCATTAGTGTAGTGAATATCACTCTGAGGGAATTAACATGAAATAGCTGTCTCTGGGGAGTTGGCTTACTGTAGAAGTGAAAGACATTTGGAAAAGGTAGTAAAGCAAGAGCTGCTTTAAAAAAAATAGTATGATGGTATGACTGGAATAGAAGCACTCAGAAAACTAAGAGAACTGTGCAAAATAAATGTGTGAAGGCATAATCTTGGATAAAGATGGGCTTTTGAACTCATCTTATTTTCCCTGGTTTTGATGTATGGGATTTTGGGTTATCTGTTGAGAAACTATAGTTCTTTTTAAATCTATTCTTTGGAGGGAAAAAAGGTTTATGTAATGAATATAAAGAAAAGGAGATTTTGAAATGTAGTATAAGTCCCCACTAATTTACACATTTTCTCCCCTGATACTTTGCTGTGTGAATACAGGGCAGTGGTAGTTTGTAACCATATTGATGGGTTTGTTACATGATTTCTGAGGATCTGTGATTAACATTATTTACTGATGATCCTCCAGTGAATCACGTGTCATTAAATCCTCTGTAGATGATACAGTTGTAAGAGCAGAGTACCTTTTCTGAATTATTTTGTCACTTCAGATAGAATACTTATTTACAAAGGTTTTTTCTTTAATATGGAAAAACACATTTTGGCTTTCCTCGGTGGAGATTTTTCGTTTTGTTAAGTTTACTTATATACTTAACCTTTTCTCTCTCTTAGATTTGGGACACCTTAACAGGTGAATTACTTCACTTGTGCTCCCCAGTTACTGTAGATGAAGGAGAACCAACACATGGTGGTTGGGTAACAGACCTCTCGTTTTCTCCTGACAGTAAGGTGCTTGTGTCATCTGGAGGCTATCTTAAGGTAAACCTTAAAACTAATAAAATGTTGTAACATACATAATTAAAAGGCGAACTTGGATAATTTTAAAGGGAAAGGTAAACCACTTCAAAGAAACAAATGTGAGATGTTCTATTTAGCACAGTACAGCTCCGTTTTCCCAACTGTCTTGCAAATTTCATTTTTTTCCCTAAGTATGAAAGCCCCCTGCAAATGTATTTTAAGAAGCCTTCAGATTTCTGGGATGGAGTTTGCTTTTGAATTCTGTGTGTTCCGTTGCTCACAAAGTTCAAGATGCAGTTAGGAGCTTCAGATTTTTATTAGGAAAATCTTTCATTAACATCTTTCAAGATCCTCTTTATGAGCAGAAAAATGCTCTGTTGGGCAATTATTTATTTATTTATTTAATGAGACTGGCTTTTAATTTTTTTCCTAAATAGAAATTTGGAAGGAACTGCAATTGGGAATTTTCTGCCTTAAGGGTCATTCTATAAATATTCTTTGAAAGAGAGCATGTTAAAACTGAGGAAATCAGTCTTTTTCATCAGTCTTTCATTGGTTCAGACATCTCCTGGGCATATGGTTTTGAGAAGGGAAAAGATGATCGTTCTTTCATTCTGTGACATAACTGTACATTTCTCATGAGTCTGAATAGGATTATTGGTTTCCTCATGTAATATCTAATACCCTTTACTAGAAACCATGAGGGGTGGAACTGACAGTTGTGAAGTTCTTATCTTGCAAACTGCTGGAGACTAGTTGATTGCTGGTCAATGGTTGAGCCCTTGGACACGCTACCAGATTTAAGTCTTTCAAGTCAATTAGTAATTGTTTAACAAGGAGTATTGAATTTTCTAATTTAGCATTGAAAATACATCATTTTCTTGCCTTCATTTTGAATTAAAAAACACGACATGCTTTCTGTTTCCAACTTCCTTCCAGTTTTGTCTTGTGGTTACAAAGTGTGGTGTTGCGATGCTTCAAAGAATCATATAATGCTTTAAATTGTTATGAACCTCTGAGACTCATGAAGCCTATCCCTTTGCTCAAAGCAGGGCTAGTGTTAGATCAGGTTGCTCAGGGCCTTGGCCAGGCAAGTTTTAAGTATCTCCAGCAGGGGCTTCTCTGGGTCCTGAGAGAAGAGCCTGACTCTGTCGTCTCTAACTCTTTTTGGTGGTTGAAGGCAGCCGTTAGAGCCTCCCTAGCCTTTTCTTCTTCAGGCTAAACCAACTGAGTGCTTGCTCTCTCTTCTACATATTCCAGACCCCCCCACCACCACCACCATCTCAGTGGCTCTGTGCTGGACCAGCTGCAATTTGTCAATGTCTTTAGTGCGCTGGGGGGAGCTCAAAACTGAACACAGTGACTGAACAGCTGACTATTTTTTTTTTTGAATCTGGCAGTTCATCCAGTTTGTCACCTACCTTGTATTCCATCATTGCAGTCTCTGTCTCTCCAATTTTGCTACAGGCATGTTATGGGAGATCATGCTGAAGGCCTGGCTAAAGTTGAGGTAAATCACATTCACAGCTCTCCCCTCATCTACAGAGCAACCCTTCTTGTCACAGAAGGGCAGTCAGGTTGTTCAGCATGATTTGCCTTTGGTAAGTCAGTGCTGGTTGTTCATGATCACCTCACGTGATTCCAAATGGCTTCTAGGAGACTTGCTCCATAACATTTCCAGGGACTGCAGTGAAAGTAACTGGCCTGTAATCCTTAGCATCTTTCTCCTTGCCCTTTTTGAAAATGGGTGTAACAGATGCCTTTTTCTAGTCACTGGGACCTCGTTCCAACACTACATCTTTTCATTCTAGACCTACCGGTGGATCTATGTGATGTGCCCCCCTACCCTTTTTATAAGGGAGATACTAATTAGTGAAAGTCTAAAACATTTCAGAAGTCTAATTCTCTGAAAATTGGTCTGAGTTGGGTTTTAGTGTTACATGGAAGATATCACAAATGAACATCTTATCACAAGACAACAAATGAATCATCTTATTCATAGATGAAGTGCATTCTGCTATGTACTGTTGAGCTTGCTGTGTGAATGGTACCCACTGGCTCAGCACCTGATCATTTTTCCTATCAACAGCAGTTCAGGAGCTGATTAAAGATCCTGATTTTCTGGGTCTCCGCTGAATAACAGGCACTTTGGGAAAGGTGTTTTGAATCAGAATGCTATAGTCATGTAGTTATAAAACCGCATTATGCACACAACTGTTATGTTGCATATCTCATGAGATGAGCAAACTTAAAAGTAGTAATATGTCACATGCTTTTTCTAAACTAAATTTAATCTATTGCAATACTTTGCTACTGCAGTCAAATATAGCAAGAATAGATGGTGGACTCTCTGGAATATCGACTACAGCAAAGTGACAGCTTTGTGGTCGATTGCATTTGGTTCATGTGGTGTGTAGCTTTTGTGGGAGTGATATAAAAAGTGAAATAAGTGTACAGTTATGGAGCAAATGGATGGTAGAAGGTTTTCCTGTATAGTTGTTATTAATGATTATGGTATGATCTTAAAAAATAACATTTATAACCTCATTTTTAAAAAAGTCTGTGCTGTTAACATAACTGTAAATGGTTTCAACTGTGAAAATGAGTAATCCTTTTGTGAATCCAACTAACCTTTTAGTTTCAATTAGATTGGCAGTGAGTTTCATGTATTAATTGGTTTATAGAAATGTAGAAAATACATAATCTTTTAAATTTTGAATGTGTTAAAATTGACTTCTTTGGGTCATATTTTCTGACAAGGATATGTGACCATGCCTGAATCTAATCTTACTGCTGTATTTAATATTTTGTATGTGTACTTTAACTTCAAAATGACTGAAGGTGCTCAATTTTCTTTTCATCTGAAAGTTTTATACTTCTAGTAATTTGTCCTTTTCTAAACCTTTTCTGTTTAAGATTGCTTGTATTTTTCTCCTTTAATTCTCCTTCTTTAGGGAAAGCAGTCAATTTGGCTTACCAAGCTAGGCCTGTTTATATAATTTGTTCTAACCTTATTTCAACTAACTGAAAGTGTATTGTATTTTATAGTGGTGGAACGTAACTACTGGAGAATCCTTACAGACCTTCTATACAAATGGAACAAACCTCAAGTCAATACGTGTATCCCCTAATTTCAAAGTTTATGTGACTGTTGATAATCTTGGTATTCTTTATGTATTACAAAAGATGTGATTAGTGTGTTGAACTTTGCAGAGATCGTGTAACTTGCTCTTTCTTTGAGCTGGAAACAAAATTCTGCTAATTATTTATCTGGCGCTCATTAAGCTGTGAATTATACTTCAATATTGTATTCATGATGTTTTCATGTATATTTATGTATGTTTTCTCAAATGAATTTGCATTTAATCTTGTTTTTGATAGGCATTATTGTCAATACTTAAGTCTTGATTTGCATCTTAAGTATGTTGCTTCCAACATTGTAAGGAAATTACGTTAAGATTTATTCAAATTGGGTGAAATTAATAAACAGCAGTGGAGCAATAATAGGAGTACAAAGATGGAAATTCCATTTTGTGCTATGGCTGATGACTAAATGTTTTGTAGCTATGAACACAACTTTTTTTTTTTTTTTTTTTTTTTGTGATGCAAGGCTTTTTATTTCATACAGAATGGAAAGAATCAGGGACATCTTTCATTTGAAAAATGAAACTCTAGCTATCTTGGTGCTTGAAGCTCAAAACCAGAACTCAAGTAGCTGTTCTGTTTACAGCAGCAGTGCTTCCCACTTGTGGTATGAACCATCATGCTTCTACCCTTGTGGAGATAAAGTGCATTGTAACGCATATGAGCTATGCTTACTAAGAGGAACCTTTTCAGTTTCATTTTCTCAAGACAAAACCTGAAGCGTTATTGGAATTGAAGTGGGGGAGATTGTGCCACATTTCCAGTCAGAGGGCTAACAGAGATAACCAGCTAAACTGAGGTAGAAAATATTTTAAAAGGTTTGTGTTGAAAAATATAAAGGTGTGAATTCTTAGTTGTTTTTCTTTTAAGAATAGCATTCAATTTATACCACAGTGGTATTTTATTTTGATCAGCTTTGTTTACATGGGATTCTCTGCACAGAGGTCTCTTGACTGAGACGTGATTTTTTTTTTTAATCTATTTATAGATTCAATATCAGGTAGAATCTTTTGACATTTTATACTAATTATACTTAATATATCTTTTGTGAATAATTAGGTAATAATTTTTTTAGGCATCTAATAAGCCTTGTTTTTGCCTTTCAACTACTATGAGTAACTGCACAAGTGTTAGTATAATGATTTTGATATCTTGCAGTTGGCAGTAGGACATTTCATCTAAATACGTGGCTATAAAGAGTACATTAGCAAGTGTCTGTCAATTGATAATAATAAAATTTTCGCTTTTGGTTATTTTTTTGTGTGAATTTCAGAAGATTTAATATTCTTAATGTTTTCCTGTTTTTGACAATCAGCAGTTTTCCCCCCCCCTTTTTAAACTCTTAATTCCCCTATTTTTAATGTACTATTGAATACGGGTCAGTATAATTAAAGTACTGCTGGCAGACATATAAAGAGAAGAAATTTAACAGGAAAAAAACTTGAAACGTTTTGTATTCTAAGTGTGTGGATATGCAGCATTCAATAAAGATAATCTGGGCAGTATTGGCCTAAGTTATGAATGAATTTCAGTTCTTGTGTGTTTCTGTGGGTTTTTAATTGTTTTGATTTTTTTAATAAGGTGGGAGGAAGGGGAAGTGCTGCCTTTTTTTTTTTTTTTTTTTTGCCTTGAGTAATATGTGCAAGGAAGAGTAAAAGATGATCTGTGTGCTGCCACTCTTAATGTAATGCTGCTTCTCAGTGTGCATCAAAAATACTTTTGACAGGTAAGCAATAGTATTAAATATGAAGATGGAGGAAAAACAACATGAAGGACTGTTTTCTTCCATCAGTGAGACACTCGGGCGAGTCACATGGTAAGCCACAAAAGGAAAACCAGAATCTTGGAGCATCTCCAATAGTGTTCAGGATAAAGCTACTTCTGCTCCGTCTAGTTTGTACAGCCCTCATCACTACCCTGCATAGCTGAAGATTCAAGGAATGAGACGGTCCTCTCAGCCACCATGTCCCTTCACTGCATAGTCTGTGCTACCCTATTTGCACAAGACAGTGTTGATCAGAATTTAGAGGCCCAGCTAGACAAAAAGAGGATAAAAGCTTCACATAAGGAACCAGAGCAGAAAGTTGTATTTTCTGACAATGCTATTAATCCCTTGATGATAGGAAAACCTGGTTGTGGTTTAGTGAAGAAGGTGAACTGTGAAAGGGTGGAGTGCATAGAAGATTTCAGTCTTGAAGTGAGTAGGAAATAGCACAGAAGCTTGAAGAAATTAAGGATGTAATTGCACTATTCTGCAAGAGTGCCAACACAACAGCATTCTGCCTGTTGCTGGAACTGAGGTAGCTATGCTCCATCGGAGGTGATTATATATAGAGTCAGCACAGTTGCATTCATGTGCAAATGTATGGAGCTGACTGCTAAATCTTTAGTTACAACTGAAATAAAAGAGGAGAAATAGTGATGAAAAAGTCTTGAAAAGCCAAAGAGTAGGTAAAAATTGCAGAAAGAGGAGGAACAAATCAAAATGAAAAACCTTTAAAATAGGGGGCAACCAAGACAGCAACTTCTTTAATTTAAAATCTCTAAGGTGGTTAAGGCAGTTTACTGTCACCCAAACCAAACCAAAAAAACCCCCCTGCTTTATCAGTGGATTGAGCTGTTTTCTTTGATGCTTAGATGTATTCTGAAACACAAAAGAAAGTTTGACCTGAAGCAATTTGTATGTAGATCAACCATTAGTGCCTCCATTATCTCTGGTAATGCCAGATCAAATATAATCACTCTGCATCCAAATTTAACTAATGAGCATTGGACAATTTTATCTAGTTCTTTAACTGAAATTATATACAATTTTGTATACACAGTTCTTAGGTACACTTCCTATTAATGATGCCTATCGGCTCCAGTAGAAGTTTTGAATCTCTTCATTTTGACAATTAGGCCTACAGCTCCTTTGCAAATCTTGTTCTTCTCTTTATTTCCTTTATTAACAAGGAATTGTACCCACACAGTGCAGTTGTTTAAGAGGATGTCTTATGTTGTCTTGAATTGTACCATTCCTTTAACTATGGTGTTCCCCTCCTGCCTTTGTTATTGGCTATTACAGTCATTTGCAATGAATTTTGCAGTTGTACATTTGTTGCCTGAGTTTTTTCATGCTAAAGTTTGTAGATCTTTCATAGTGCTGCAGTGTGTGGGCAGAGCTAGAACTTCCTCCTCCCTAAAATTACTCGGCTTCCCCCTGGAAAATGGCTGTTAAATTCCCTGGTACGGAATGCTGTGGAGAGTACTCATTTTTTCCAATTAATAAGGTCTCTGTGTGGGGTCTAGTTCCCAAGGTCGTCTCTAGCTACAACAGTGTCTCCTCATCTCTGTTCTGAGATATTTCACAAGAGCTGATGCCTTTGCAGGTTTTAGGGGAAAGTCAGACTGCTTGGGTGGTTTCTTCTGTCCTCCAGGGACAGAACAGATTGCAGGGAGGCTACCTTGCCCCATCCTTAAGAAGAAGATGAACCCAGAAAATCAGGAGATTACAAAGAATTCAGCTACATTCTTCCAGTTACTAGGAGAACATGAGCCTCTTACCGACAGCTGCCTTTTCATTGTCAGCACAGATGCAGCACAAATGACAGCCAAAAGGGTTGACTTTTGCACTGTTTGCCAGTGAGAGACATTTTCTAGCATTTTGCTCTGATAGCAAACGCTCACCCTTGTTGGTTTGCGTTGTTCTCTTCCTTCTGTCTGCTGTGGAGACATTAAATTTCCCAGGGTTGCTGGATGATGATGATGCCTGAGAGCTCTGAGAACTTAGACCCTTTATTCCTGGTGTGATAAGAAGGCAGAAGCCAAGTGAACCTCACCGCTTTGAGAATGGAGAACATGCCAACTGTGCAGAGCACTTTCAGTACGATTTCTATGCCCAATTTCACTTTGCTCTTTAAAGCTAAGAACAGGTGCGCAGTTGGTGGCTCTGCCAGTATATATTAAGCTGCTAAACTGAGGCTAAATTTGTTTATGGCATGAGCTCTGAAGTAGGTTGACCTATAGTTTTTATCACCTCCAATGCTGCCATGCTCTGTGCAGCTGTCTGCATCTTTGTACGTTTTTTTTTTTCAAGTTGTTGCACACATTTCTTCTAAGAAGGCTTCTTATGAGAAACCTTGCAACTAACTTTATCATAGAGGCCTGTGCCAGGCTTTCAGGGTGCATCCTAAAAGACCTAGTGAGTATAAAGGAGTAAGATTTTCAGTCTACATATGTTATTGACATCTTCGGCACTTCCCATATAATCTCTTCCTGTTATTTCTGTGGGATATAGCAAATTGTGCTGTAATTGGACTTTTAAAATTGTATGTGTACATTTATTTAGAAGAATGAGAAAGCCAAAGTATCTTTCAGTGTTTCAATAGGTAATTTCTCTCTTGGGGACTGTTTACAGAACAAATTGGCTTCCTGTGCTTGTTTCCTTATAACAAACCGTATATTGTATGTGCAACAAGTGCTCCTTCAGGCTAAGGAGAATTCTTGTTATATGCTCAAGAGGGATCATCCGAGTATTTACGTAGTGTGCCACAATTAGACTCTCTCTGTATTTATATGGTATGTTATATTTTTCGTTTCTTCTTGTATTTACTTCTCCTATTAGTATGTTTGTCTCCCTCTCTCTCTGATCTTTCTCTCTTTTGAGCTTTGTGCAGTTTCTCTGTAATAGCCTATGAACTCAGAGGAATTTTGAAAATCGTGATGTTTAAAATGGTTCAAAATGAGGCAAAGACGAATTTATGTGATATAACTGTGTAAAAGTGGATGCTATCTAGGTATAGCATGTAAATGCATAGAAAAGCATGCTTCGTATTTAAAATGCCTTTTTAAAAAACGGTATCTCACGTATCGTATTGCTTTATAAACACATTAGTTATCTTAATTGTCCACTTCTAATTGCATACCAAATTTTCTTTTTGTAGATATTCTTGTACTTTCTAGCACATGGCAGCAGGGATATTTTTATCATGTAGCTCTAAAAATCACATTATTTGGCAGTAATATTCTCAGAAGACAGTAAAAAGTGGTCCATATTCTTCTCCCTCAAAAGCATTAATATTCAGGTTTATATATGCTGCGACTTTGTAGTCTGCTGGTTCAGACTCTTACTCCAGCGCTAAGGAATCTCAGTCTTGTCACGTTTTGAGAACACGTCTTCACGTCCCAGAGACACAATGACAGGTACGTATCTTCTCTTTTTGCACTTCCCTGTCAGAACGACTTACATTCCTCTTTTGATATTGCAAACAGTATTGGCTGCTGTTTATAGGCCCCCTGGCAGAAGAGTAGGAAAAAAGATCAGGGAAACACCAGCAAATATACTTTTGGTTTAACAACGCTGCAATAATGCATGAGAGGAATGGCTCATTTTTAATGTGAGGCTGGGAAACGCTTAGTTTTTTCTTCTTAAAAGGTTTTTGGGAGTTTTTCGTTTTTATTTCTGTTCTTTTTTTGAGTAGTAGAGAATGGACGAATGAACAGACAGCCATAGGCCGGTGGAAACCTGTCTCTAAATACAGATCAAATATTTTGCTTTAAAAAGTCATCTGAAACCTATATTCATCTCTTGATGGTTAAAAGCTCAGCATCTAGGCAATAATGTAAGACCTACCTATGCAAGCTGGTAGCTCCTAAATATTTTAATGTATTTATGTGACTCCTTACAAGGTGCTGTGAAATTCATTTGTATTTAGTACAGAGTAGCAGTAATGCATGTTACGTGTCCAGCTGTACAAATAAGTGAGATTGCAGGAAATATATGAAAAGAGCCTTATCAATATATGACTTACTTGAGACCTCGGAAATGTGAGAAGGAACAGTTTCAAAGAGATTGAACTGATTGATTAGTTGCTGGTTAAATTTTACCTCTAGTTGGACATATTTAAAAAATTGTTGCCTCAGTGCATTTGACTTTTCAAAGCATTTTTTTTAAATGTGTCAAATACCTTGCGGATGGTGCACCACTGTAATTTCTCAAAAGTAAAACAGTTGTGGGTTTGCCGCCCAGTACAAATAATAAAGCAGATACTCATTTTTTTTCTTTCTACAGTATCAATAATTCAGCTTTTAAATTGTTGTTCTGACTCAGCAGTTAGTAGTTGGCAGTTTGAAGCAGTTTGAAGTAGATTTTCTGGCTACACATCCATTCGAAAAGAAATGGCCAAACTGAATCTTTTGGGTTTTTGTCACTGCAAGAAGATAGTAACTGGGAATACCTGCCAGTGAGAGGTATAAATCAATTGAATTAAATGTGACCTGGAATTTTCTTCATAGCACGTCATACTGATCTCTGATTGTAGTCACTCAAATTTTCTCTTTTCTTCCTCTGAGGAAGAATTTTTGCTGTCCTCCCACTCAGACCTAGTCCTTGGATTATGATACCTAATTCAGCTGTTCTTGCCTTGAAGTTTTGAATGTTTAGGCACTTCAATTTTTTCCTTCACGGAATCTAACCAGCAGCAGTAGACAGGCAGCCACCTTAAGTTTAGACCAAA